TCTCTCTCTCTCTCTCTCTCTCTCTCTCTCTCTCTCTCTGTGTCCCTCTCAGCTTCTGTCGCGACAACAGGGCCCTGTGAGCATGACAGCCATGACCACTAGCCGAGGTACACTCACATTCACACACACACAAACACGAGATGTAGTAAATCTAACAATGTCTCTCTCTCTCTCTCTGTGTCCCTCTCAGCTACTGTCTCGACAACAGGGCCATGTGAGCATGACGGCCATGACCACCGTAGCGGAGGTCCTCAACAAATTGCTGGTGGTTGGCATCACAGACTCGGGTGAGTTGTCCCTTGTGTGGAGTCGAGGACTCTGGAATTTTCATCAGTAATGTATGTGGGTGGTTGGCGTATGCTCTGGTGTGGTTTGCTCCTTGATTCTTATCAAACATCCATCGTCCTTATCTCTCCTCCTTTTTTGTGTTTGTTGTTCTCTTGTAATACCTCTAATTTTCGGCACTCTATTACTTAATCGTGTTGCAAGTGCTGTAAAACTCTTTCTAAAGAGTAAAACAAATCAGCAAGAAGCTCCGGAATGTCTTGAAATAATTTTTTCCTTCGAGTAAAATGACCTATTTGTGGTGTTGCAAGTGCTGTAAAACTGGTACTTAAACTAAACTAACTCTCCTTCCTTAGATGCGGACATCCGCTACTGCGTGCTGACCTCGCTGGACGAGAGATTCGACCCTCACCTCGCCCAGGCGGAGAACCTCAGCGCTCTTTTCATCGCGCTCAACGACGAGGCCTTTGAGATCCGAGAGCGAGCCATCTGCATGATTGGACGGCTCAGCGCCAAGAACCCGGCCTACGTCATGCCTTCCCTGAGGAAAGTGCTCATTCAGGTGAGTGGAGACAAAGACTCGAGACATGATTCTCTTTAGACAGATGAGATGAGATAAGATAATAGCAATGATAGTTTGTCTGTCAGTGTTTGTCAATGACTAATGCATCCATAGAGGAAAATATTGCTTTAGAGAAAAAGAAAAATTAAAGGTTAAGATAACTTGTGACTTCTGCCATGGCCAATTTGGGTTTCAATGAGAAATATACATCTAGCCAAACATGCCATTGCTTGTCACCTCTTATGTAGCGCACTGTTTTTCTTAGCTAAGGCTATGGTGTCTTTCTCAAGAGTATGTATATATATGTGTGTGTAATTGTTTGTGTGTGTGTGTGTCTCAGATCCTGACGGAGCTGGAGCACAGCGGCATCGGTCGCAACAAGGAACAAGCGGCGCGCATGCTGGGTCACCTGGTGTCCAACACGGCGCGGCTCATCAAACCCTACATGGTCCCCATCATGGAGGTAACCATACTCAACAAGTTTTCTTCTTCTTCTCCTTCGTGGGTGGTTGGCGGGTGCTCTGGTGTGGTTTGCTTCTTCTTTCCTATAAAACATCTATCGTCTTCTTTTTGTTTGTTTGTTACTCTCTTGTAACACCTCTTTTTTTTTTAAATAGTAGAGGGTTTTACGGTGCTCGCAACTGCATAAGGTCATATGAGCGCCAAGGGGTGGGTGTCAACAGAGAAGTCTTTACAGGGAATCAGACTTAGACTGCTCACCACTCTAGCTTCAACAGCACAAGGTCTGCTTCGACTATCAAGGCACCCCAAAATAGCAGATCCCACAAGGTAGTTACAAACATATAAAAGAAGTAGAGGAAAGTGACAATAGTAAGGATCATGAAAGAAAAAGCAGCAGTTCCCTGTTGTAGATCAGGCACAGTTATGAGCGTGACATGAGTCAGCCCATTTACAATTCTACTATGCTTGAACGAGAAATGTCCCCTCCTTTGGGAATGGCCTAAAGACACTTCAGTCAGTGGCACTGCCCCGGGGGGTTAACACCTCTAATCTACGGCACTTATATGACCTTATTGTGTTGCAAGTGCCGTAAAGCTCTTACTAAAACTAAACTTCTTCTCCTTCTCGATCGCGTCACACTTGTCCAGTGTCTATTATATACTGGGCGTTGTGTTCTCATTCTCTGTTCCTTGAAACGAAATTTGTTTTTGATCTTGTGCTTGTTTTTTTTTAATGATGGGTTTAAAAAAGAAAAATTGGTTTTTTGCTTTTTGTTTTCTTTTTTGTTGTTGCTTTTGTGGCTGCTCAGAAATATTTATGTGGTTGGTTGGTTGGTGTTGCAAGTACCGTAAAACTCTTTGTACAATGTGGGTGGGGGAAGGGTGCCACAGGCTGGTCCTGCTTGTTTTGTTTCCCACTTGTTGTTGTTTGCCTGACCTGTTCCTGCCATGCACTATATGACCGTTATTGTGTCAGTGTGCTTCTCTTTGCTCTAATTCAAACTCTTACTAAAGCGAAAATCAGTTTCAGAGTGGGGAGAATAGTTTTATTGAATATCTCAGTCTTCCTGCTGGGATGTTGTATCCCTCTCAACCCAGGTTGGCCTAGACAGGCAGGGTTACAAGCTTGCCACTTAAATGATCAAAATTGTGCTGATAAGGGCATTAAAGCATCTGCATTAACTCTTTATCTCCGGCCAGCAGCTCGCCGTCAGAACCACTGTGCCAATGAGTTGGGCACATTCCTTTATGACGACTTCAACATCAAATTACTTTTCGGCATTTACGGAAAACAGGTCTCTTTTACCGAGATGTCTTTCATGAGATGAAGAACTATCGAAATAGGTTCACTTGTTTTGATCGCTGATTTAATGACCAGTTTAGTGACGTTTTTGTCATTTTTAGATTTAGTACATAAAAAAAAGGGCCCCGGCATAGTGGGTGGGTTTAACCCCCTCGAAGATAAAGAGTTAAAGAAACATTTTTAAAATGAAAATACTCAAATGAAAATCTTTTCTATGTATGTCATGCCATGTGCTATATTTTGTCCTGTGTGTTATCCTGTCCCCAGACTCTGATCCCTAAGCTGAAGGAGGCCGACCAGAACCCGGCGGTGGTCATCAGCGTGCTGCAAGCCATTGGAGAACAGGCTCAGGTAGGTTTGAATAATAATAGTAATAATAATGAAGATAGTTTCTACAGCGCCCACTCCCATGTAAACACAGCTGTAGATGCTTTACGTAAATGCATGTATGAACAATATTCACGCTCTCGACACTCACATACACACACATACACACACACACACACACACACACACACACAAACACACACACACACACACACACACACACACGCACACACACACACACAAACACACACACACACAAACAAGCACTCACGCACACATATGCACACACATGCACGCTACACACACACACACACACACACACACACACACACACACACACACACACACACACACACACACACACACACACACACACACACACACACACACACACACACACACACACACACACACACACACACACACATAAGCACTCACACACGTCTACTTGCTTATCACAGGCTATGCTGACTGCTCAGATCTCTAAGCTTCTGTAGATACGATGTTGTTGACAAGCTGTTCAAATGTTCTGAGCCTGGAAATCAAAATTTTTCAGAAAGAAGGGAAAAACTTTTATTTTTCTAGAGATTGTCCCCTACATTATGCATCTATTCTTTCTTTTTTCCTCATTCAGAATGTTAATTTTGACAAAATATTTCTTGGACATGTGCAACAGATACGGCCAAATAATATGAAACTGCATGTAAAAAATATCCTAATTTTGGGCTTAATACAACTGTACAGCTGGCTGACAATATGTAGAACACTGATTTTACTAAGTGGGTGCCTCCCGGGGCGGTGCTACTGACTGAAGTATCTTTTACCCATTCCCAAAGGGGGGACATTAACATGTTCTGTTGCACAGTAGAATTGTAAATAGGCTGATTCATCAATGTCATGATCATAACTGAGCCTGAACTGCAACTGGGAACTGCTGCTCATTCTTTTCTAATCCTTACTATCGTCATTTTTTCCTCTACTTCTTTTGCATGTTTGTCACACTCTTGTGACCCGCTATTTCCTTAAAACCTCTACTAAAACTAAAAACACTGGAACCATGTCCCCAGGTCAGCGGTCCTGACATCAGCAAGTGGATGGATCAGCTACTGCCCATCATCATGGACATGTTACAGGACTCCTCTTCTCTGCAGAAGAGAGAGGTGGGTGTTTGTGTGTGTGTGGATGTGGTTTTGTATGTGTGTGTGTGGGCGGGGGATGTGTGTGTGTGTGTATGTGTGTGTGTGTGTGTGTGAGTGTGAGAATTTGTGTGTGTGTGTTTGTGTGTGTGTGTTTGTGTGTGTGTGTGTGTGTGTGTGTTTGAGAATTTGTGTTTGTGTGTGTGTGTGTGTGTGTGTGTGTGAGAATTTGTGTGGGTGTGTGTGAATTTGTGTTTGTGTGTGTGTGTGAGAATTTGTGTGTGTGTATGTGTGTGTGTGTGTGTGTGTGTGTGTGTTTGTGTGTGTGTGTGAGAGAATTTGTGTGTGTGCGTGTGTGTTTGTATGAGTGAGTGTGTGTGTGTGTGTGGGGTATGGCTTTTTATTCTTTTCTCTCATTCTAACACCTTTCATCTGACCATCAATGATGTACTTATAGAGGCCCCAGCCATCAAATTATCTGGGTGCTGTGTTATCCTGAATCTTTGGCTCTTATACAACCCAATTGTGTTTGCAAGTGCCGTTAAACTGTGACAAAAACTAAAACCTCACCCGCGCGTGTGTGTGCGTCTGTTGTCCCAGGTAGCGCTGTGGACGCTGGGCCAGCTGGTGGAGAGCACGGGCTCGGTGGTGGAGCCCTACAGCAAGTACCCGACGCTGCTGGACGTGCTGCTCAACTTCCTCAAGACGGAGCAGTCGCACAGCATCAGGAGGGAGGTCTGTAGTCTGCGCGGTCTACTTCTTTTTGATTGTTTTTTGACCTCTTCATTGCTGTGTGGATTATATGTACTAGGCTGTGCTCTACTAAACTGGTTCTCTGCCAGTTGTCTATAGGTGAAGTTCGTTGAAATGCGTACACTCACAAAGAGACAACTGGTGATTGGCGAGTGCTCTGGTGTGGTTTGCTCCTTCTTTCCTATCAAACATCTGTCGTCCTGATCTCTCCTTCTTATTTGTTTTTGTTACTCTCTTGTAACACCTCAAATCTTCGGCACTTGTATGACTTTATTGTGTTGCAAGTGCCGTAAAACACGTAATAAAACTGAAACTGTTGCAGTATGGATATATGTACCTGGTTGTGCTCTACTAAACTGGTTCTCTGCCAGTCATCTATAGGGGAAGGTTGCTGAAATGCCTACTCTCACAACGAGACCATGGGTGATTTGCAGGTGCTCTGGTGTGGTTTGCTCCTTTTTTCCTATCAAACATCTGTCCTCATTATCTCTTCTTTTTCTTTTTTTGTTATCGTTACACTCTTGTAACACCTCAGATCTTCAGCATTTATGTGACCTAATTGTGTTGCAAGGGCTGTAAAATATTTACTAAAACAAAAACAAACAAGTGCCCTCTATGTTACTTCTCATTACTCATATAAAACAAACAAGTGCCCTCTGTGTTACTTCTCTTTACTCAAATAAAACAAAGAAGTGCCCTCTATGTTGCTTCTCTTTACTCAAATAAAACAAAGAAGTGCCCTCTGTGTTACTTCTCTTTACTCAAATAAAACAAAGAAGTGCCCTCTATGTTACTTCTCTTTACTCAAATAAAACAAAGAAGTGCTCGCTGGGGTATTGGTGTGCTTCTCTTTGCTCAAATAAACTGAACCCCCTGGGGCAGTGCCACTGACTGGAGTGTCTTTAGGCCATTCCCAAAAGGGGGACATATCTCGTTCAAGCATAGTAGAATTGTAAATGGGCTGACTCATGTCACGCTCATAACTGTGCCTGATCTACAACAGGGAACTGCTGCTTTTTCTTTCCTGTTTCTTACTATTGTCACTTTCCTCTACTTCTTTTGTATGTTTGTCACTCCCTTGTGACTTGTTATTTTGGGGTGCCTTGATAGTCGAAGCAGACCTTGTGCTGTTGAAGCTAGAGAGGTGAGCAGTCTAAGTCTGATTCCCTGTAAAGACTTCTCTGTTGACACCCACCCCTTGGCGCTCATATGACCTTATGCAGTTGCGAGCACCGTAAAACCCTCTACTATTAAAAAAAACACAAAAACAAACTGATTGCCATTAAAGAAACAGCCCAGGTATTTATGCTCCCACCTGTGATTCCCTCCCAGGTGATCCGAGTGCTGGGTCTGTTGGGTGCCCTTGACCCCCACAAGCACCGCACCAACCTGGCGGCCATCAAGGAGTCGGAGGCTTCGGCCAGCAAGTCGGAGGTCAAGCTGAGTGGACAGGACCCAAGTCTTGGAGGTCGGTTGTCTCTTATGGGTGGCTGGCGGGTGCTTTGGTGTGGTTTACTCTTCTTTCCAATGAAAATCCAATGAAAAGCCTATTGTCTTTATCTCTCCCACTTCTTTTCTTTGTATGTTACTCTCTAGTAACACCTTTAATGTTAAGCATTTATATAAACTATTTGTGTTGCAAGTGCCATCAACTTTTTAAAGTCATAGGCCTATTCCCTGCTCTGTGGCAGCAAGTTTAGACTAGTTGAAAATATGCATATGTTAACATTTTCACCATGAAAAAGACTAGAAACTCTTAATAAGAGAAAGCCGGTACTGCATAAATCTCGACCTGTTTCTGACACCGGCGTGAATATGAGTGAGATCCGCCTTTTTTAACTCAAACTTCTGACACAGATGTGAGCGTGAGTGAGATGTGCTCCTGCTCCTCTCAAAATTGCCTCCATATCTGAGTCTCAACCTGTTTCGTGGGTGGTTGATGGGTGCTCTGGTGTGGTTTGCTTCTTCTTTCCTATCAAACATCTATCGTCCTTATCTCCCCTTCTTCATTTTTATATTTGTTACTCTCTTGTATCACATGTAATCTTCTGGCGCTATTATGACCTTATGCAGTTGAGAGCGCCAAAAAACAAAAAACCTCTACTAAAACAAACAAACAACCTGTTTCTGCCACAGACGTGAACGTGAGCGAGCTGATGAGCTCGTGCAACTCCCTGGAGGAGTTCTATCCGGCTGTCGCCATCCACCTCCTGATGCGGATCATCCGCGACCCGTCGCTGGCGCAGCACCACAAGATGGTGGTGCAGGCCATCACCATCATCTTCAAGTCGCTCAACATCAAGTGCGTGCCGTACATACAGACGGTGATCCCCGCCTACCTCACCGTCTTCCGCACGGCCGATCCCAGCTTCAGAGAGGTATGTCGTCGTTGTTGTTGTGTTGTATGTTTTGTGGGTAGTTGGTGAGTGTGTCGGGGTGGTTTGCTCCCATCTTTCCTTTGAAACATCTGTCGTCCTTGTCTCCCCTCCTTGTGGATGGTTGGCGGGTGCTTTGGTGTGGTGTGCTGTGCTCCTTCTTTCCTACCAAACATCAATAGTCCTGATCTCTCCTCCTTTTTTGTGTTTGTTACTCTCTTGTAACACCTCTAACCTTCGGCACTTATATGACCTTATTGTGTTGCAAGTGCCATAAAACTCTTTCTAAAACTAAACTATCTCCCCTCCTTTTTTGTGTATGTTACTCTCTTGTAACATTTAATCTAATATTCAGCCCTAATATGACCTTATTGTGTTGCAAGAGGCGTAAAACTTACTAAAAGTAAAAAAAGAAACCCATCTATTGTCTTTATCTGTCTTACCCGAGTCTGGGGTGTAGCGGTTAGGCTCTTTGATGTCGCTCACAGGAGATGGCAGTTTGATTCCTATGTAGGGAGAATTTTTGAATTATTGAGTTTCTGTCTTTCTATAGAGATGTTCTACCTCTCTCAGCCCGGGTCGTCCCTGAGGGGAAGGGTAGGATGCCTATCTCCAATGATCTAAATGTCACCTACATTTAGCAAATCTCAGTAAAGTTTGACCAACAAAAATCTGGGTTTCAGGTAGGTACACTGAAAGAGATATGGGGTTAAATTATTACCAAAGGTGAGAAGACAAATTTTCATGATTTCGCTCTAATTAATTGTGTTGCGAGTGCTGTAAAAGTGTTACAAATACTAAGAAACTCCTCCTCCTCTCCTCTCCTCTCCAGTTCCTGTTCCAGCAGCTGGGTGTGATCATCGCCATTGTGAAGCAGCACATCAAGAACTACCTGGAGGATATCTTCAACCTTATCAAGGTATGCATGTCTAAGCATGAACATTTTTTTTTATTGGTTTTTTTTTGTCGGTTTGTTTGTTTTAGTGGGGTTCTTGTGTCCTATTTTTAAGGATGCCAAACGTTAGTCAAATGTAAGACATGTTCATTTATATTGGACAATGTTGTTAGACATTGTTGTGGTGGAAAATCACTGGAAAGTTGTTGCTGATACTGCTGTATTTGCTGCTAATGAAGAAAAATATGTGTTGAGACATATGATAGATATGATGATGAAATATTAAAAGAAGATTAGACAAGGATGATGAGAATCTATGAAATAAGAACCCATGTATAGTCTATAATGTTCTAAGTGGGTGTTTTTGTTTTTTTGGTGGAAAAGATTAACAGTGAGAGGGCTTAAATTGAAAGAGAATGTAGCTACAACAGTTTTGTTTTTCTGACCACCAGGAGTACTGGACGACGTCCACCTCGATGCAGAGCGCCATCATCATCCTGATCGAGCAGATCGTCAACGCGTTGGGCACCGAGTTCCGCATGTACCTGTCGCAGATCATTCCCCAGATTCTGCGTGTCTTCATGCATGACACCAGTGAGAACAAGATCGTCACTGCCAAGGTAGGTGTGCCGAGATGAAGCCGGTTTGAAGTGTCTGAATAATATTATGTAAATGACTCGGGGTATATATTTATGTATTTTTGTTAATCTGAGGGTCGCGTAGTGTATATTACAATATGTATTTGTGCGGCTCATTCCTCATTCATAATGATGTATATGTGTGTGTCTGTGATAAAGTGTGTGCTCTGGTGTGGTTTGCTCCTTCTGTCGTATCAAACGTCTATCGTCTTTATCTCCCCTCTTTCTTTTTTGTGTTTGTTACTCTCTTGTAGCACCTCTAATCTTCGACACTTACATGACTTTATTGTGTTGCAAATGCCGTAAGACACTTACAAAAACTAAACACCTATCGTTCTTATCTCTTCTTCTCCTTTTTTGTTTCGGTTACTCTCTTGTAACATCTATTCTTCGACACTTATATGACTTTATTGTGTTGCAAGTGCCGTAAAACTCTTACTAAAACTTAAAGGTAAAGTGTGTGTGTTTGAGAGAGAGGGGGGGTTGATCAATTGTTTCCCCGTCCAACTGACTGTGTCGTATGTTGTGTGACCCTGCACAGCAGTGGGTGGTTAGCAGGTGCTCTGGTGTGGTTTACTCCTTCTTTCCTATCAAACATTAGTGGTCTTTATATTTTCTCCTTCTTTTCTTTGTACTTTCCTTTCTATTCTTCGTATGTTACTCTCTTGTAACCCTTCTAATCTTTGGCACTTCTATAATCTATTTGTGTTACAAGTGCTGTAGAACTCTTACTGAAACTTAAACCCCCCCTCCCCACCCACAGCTCCTCAAGGCCCTGGAGATGTTTGATGGTAACCTTGACGACTACCTCCACCTGTTGCTGCCCCCTGTGGTCAAGCTTTTTGACAGTCCTGAGAACCCAATACACGTCCGCAGGTGAGTCTCACATATTTCATCCTTATCTCTCCTCCTCTTCTTTGTATTTTACTCTCTAGTAGCTCCTCAAGTCTTGGGCACTATGATGACGTATTTATGATGCAAGTGCCACAAAACCTTTTCAAAAAAGAAACTGTAGTCATCTTCTCTTCTCAGTAGTTTTTTTTTTTTTTTTAGTATCTCGGTCTTTCTGTCAGGTTGTTGCATCTCTCTCAGCCAGGCTTAGCCCTTACAGGCAGAGTCAGAAGCCCACCTTTCTAAATGATCTAAATTGTGTTGAACGGGTCATAAAAAAATGGAAAGCCAGCCTCTTAGATGATTTAAATTGTGTTGATGGGGGCGTAAAAAACACCCACATTAAAAACCCCCCCACATATTTGTTCTCAGGAGCGCCCTAGAGACCATTGACCGCCTGACCGACTCCCTGGACCTGTCGGACTACGCCTCGCGCATCATCCACCCGCTGGTGCGCACCATGGACTCGACCCCGGCCCTCCACTCGGTGTGCATGGACACGCTGTGCACGCTGGTCATCCAGCTCAACCACAAGTTCACCATCTTCATCCCCATGGTGACCAAAGTGATTGCCCGCCAGAAGATTCACCACCAGCGCTTCCACATCCTCATGACCCGCATACTCAACGTACGTCGAGAAACTCCTCCGCTGTGATTTAAAAACTTTCGGTGGCAGTGTAGTTTGCTTCTTTTATTTCTTTTACTTCTTTTCAGCGTTATTGTTGACCTTTTGTAACCCACACACACTTAATGTAGGAAGTCTTGTTTTGTCTTTCTCCGTGTTACTACTGTGGGTGGCTGGCGGGCGCTCTGGTGTGGTTTGCTCCTTCTTTCCTATCAAACGTCTATCATCCTTATCTCTCCTCTTTCTTTCCAATGAAACATGTATCTTCCTTATCTCTCCTCCTTTTCTTTGCATTTTACTCTCTTGTTGCACCTCCAATCTTCGGCACTTTTTGATCTTATTGTGTTGCAAGTGCCGTTAAACTCTTTCTAATCTAAACTTCTTTTCTTTTTTATTTCACTCTCTAGTTATGCCTCAAATCTTCAGTACTTTTTTTTCTCAGGGCACCACCATAGCAGAGGAAGAAGACGATCCAATCCTGATGAAGAAGGAGAGGATGGATATTCTCATCCGTAAAGGCAAGGACCGCTCGGATAACGCTCCGGATACCACAGCATTCAAGAAGCTCAGTGTCAACTTTGACACCATGAAGCGGGTACGATGTAGTTTTAGTTTTAGTAAGAGTTTAACGGCACTTTCAACACTACTAGGTCATATCGGTGCTGAAGGTTAGAGGTGTTACTAGAGAGTAACTTACATAGAAACAGGGTAGAGAGAGTAAGATTAGAAAGCGTATGTTTATGTGCAAGATCATGTGTATAAGTACATATTGCTGACGTTCTTTGATTATGGTGTAAGGTGTTTTTTAAAGTTTGAGTAATACAAAATCCCCTCAAAGTAAGCCTCTACCATCCTGTCTTTTTCTATGTGCGGACAGCTGTGTGTCTAAGAAGGATTGGATGGATAATGTGTGTGTGTGTGTGCACGTGTTTGTGCGTGCGTGTGTGTGTGCGTGCATGCATGTGCTTGTGGGTGTACATGCACGGGCGTGTATGTGTGTGTTGAGAGACAATATTACGTGAGATGACTGTACTTTGTCTCTGTGTCTAGGCCCTGGAGACTGGCCTCAGTGTGTTGAAGGAGGACGAGATGGAATGTGTGTGCGTTCGTTTGTGCATATGTGCGTGCATACGTGTGGATGTATGTATGCGCCGCATATTTTGAAAATATTTTGCGATGACATTGGCATACATTTTTTCTGATCTTGTCTGTGTCTAGGCTTTGGAGACTGGACGCCGTGTGTCGAAGGAGGACTGGATGGAATGGCTGAGGAAACTGAGCATCGAGCTGCTGAAGGAGTCGCCGTCCCCCGCCCTGCGCTCCTGCCTGGCCTTGGCTCAAACTTACAACCCTCTGGCTAGGTACCCTCACACAGCATAATTATTAAAAATTTTTTTTTTTTTTAGTAAGAGTTTTAGGTCATATAGAATGCTGAAGATTAGAGGTGTTACTAGAGAGTAACTTACAAAGGAAAGAAGGAGGAGAGACAAGGACTACAGATGATTGATAGGAAAGAAGTGTCTCTCTCTCTCTCTCTCTCTGTCTCTGTCTCTGTCTCTCTGTCTCTCTCTCTCTCTCTCTCTCTCTCTCTCTCTCTCTCTCTCTCTCTCTCTCAATCAATTCTTCAGTCACCAGGGACTTGTTCAACTCTGCCTTCCTGGCCTGCTAGACTGTCTACCTTTCTTCTTTCCAAGGACAAAATGACTGATATTGTTTCAGTGTGCTGCTCATCCATCCATCCGTTTGTCAACCATTCTACCTTTCAATCAATCTGTAAATCATCCATTCAATCAATCAATCAATCGATCACCAGGGACCTGTTCAACTCTGCCTTCCTGGCTTGCTGGACAGAGCTGACGGAGATCCAACAGGACGACGTGATCGCCAGCCTGGAGAAGACCTTGAACTCCCCGGAGATCCCCGAGATCATGCAGACGCTGCTTAACCTCGCTGAGTTCATGGAGCACTGCGACAAGGTCGGTCGGCTCAGCTTTGTCGTGATTTGAAGCATTTTAAATTGGCCGTAAGAATGATGTGTGTCACGACAGACGCGGTGGAATCAGGCGCTCGTAAATTTTTGGGCATGTGGAGTTACTGGTATCGTCTGAAAGCATATTCATTTGTTGTACTTTTAAATGAAAGAAATACTCGTCTATCTTGAAGGAGGTGAAGGCGCCTGGTTTCAGTGGTGAAATTAGCGAGAAAATGGCCGCCAAGTTTCGGTAACTCCAATTGCTAAAGAGTCCTTGAAAACTGAAAAATGACACATTTTGTGCCTTTAATCAACGTTTTTCCGTAAAATCTCTTGGAAATATGTTTTTACATGGACATAAATAAATTAAAACTAAAACTAAACTCCTACTTCACTGTTGTACTCATATGTCCTAATAGTGTTGCAAGTGGAGTAAAACTATAATAAAAAAATAAAAACAAACTTCTTCCTCATTTGGGCAATTATATGTCCTAATTGTGTCGCAAGTGGCGTAAAACTTTAATAAAAACTAAACCTGTATGTGTATGTGTGTGTGTTTGTTGTGCGCCGCAGGGACCTCTGCCAGTGGACGGACACCTGCTGGGCGAGCAGGCCATGAAGTGTCGAGCCTATGCCAAGGCCCTGCACTACAAGGAGTATGAGTTCCACAAGGGGCCTAACACACAGATCTTGGAGAGTCTGATCAGGTGAGGGGCTGTGTGTGTGTGTGTGTGTGTGTGTGTGTGTGTATGTGTGTGTGTGTGTGTTTTGTGTGTGTGTGTGTGTGTTTGTGTGTGTGTGTGTGTGTGTGTGTTTTGTGTGTGTGTGTGTGTGTGTGGGTAGTTTGTGTGTGTGTGTTTGTGTGTGGGTGTGTTTTTGTGTGGGTGTGTTTTTGTGTGTGTTTGTGTGTGTAGGATGAGGTGTGTGTGTGTGGGCCCAAGCACACAGATTGAGGAGAGTCTGATCAGGGAAGGGGGTCTGGGGTTTTTGTATGTGTGTGTTTGCTTTTGTATGCGTATGTTTGTGTGTACGTTAATCTGAGTTTGTTTAGGTGTTCTGGGTTTTAAAAAAAGTGGTCTAGTTTGATCCTTCTTTCCTATAAAAAAATAAATTATCATTATCTCTCCTTTTCTTTGTGAGTCGCTCTTTAGTAACACCTGTAATCTTTTTCAATTCTGTCACTTACTTGGGTTGCAAGTTTTAATGAACGACTAACAGTTTTTGGTTTCATCGTTTTCATCTGTGTATGAAACAATCACATCATTTTTGTTTTGTTTCCCTGCAGCATCAACAACAAACTTCAGCAGAGAGAAGCTGCCAAGGGAGTCTTGTCTTATGCCATGAAACACAACCATGCTAACCTGGTGAGTGGACACACTGCCAAAATCTGTGTCTATGATGGAGTGGTTAGGTGCGTTTCCATTGCACGCAGGAGATCGGAGTTCGTTTCTTTAGTTGGGAGGACTTTTTACGAGTGTCTAGATTTTTTTGCTTGGATGTTGTTTCCCTCTAAGCCCGTTTTAGCCCTGACAGGCAGGGCTGGAAGCCCACCCACCCGCTAAATGATGTAAATTGTGTGGATGGGGGTTTAATTCTTTGAGCCCAGAATTGATTTCCAGGATTAGATGGAATTTTTTTTTTTACAACTTGACTCAACTACTTTCAGAACATGTGCTTCGATTCAAGTCAAAGAACGGACATAAACACAACGACAAAGGTGTTTAGTTTCTCTTGGAGAAGCTTTGTACAAGGTTTTATTCGCATTCATAGCTGTAAGAATCTCCTTATGATCATTATAACTTTGTGTAGTTCACCTGAGCCGCTGGGAGAGGTCGCTCATCATTCGTCATTTTGGGTAGAAGCTTCTGCCGCTCCGGGTTTAATGAATTAAAAACATTTACACAGAAAATAAAAAAATATAAAATGAACTCTTTACTTAAATGATAAAAAGGAGAATAACTTCAGAAAGTGATATGATTTTGTGTCTGTTTGTGCTTGTGTTTTGTCAGAAGCTACAGGAGAGCTGGTATGAGAATCGTCACAAATGTGAGAAGGCTCAGATATAACCTATTTGTGTTCTAAGTGTTCTAAAACTTATACTAAAACTAATCAAAAGAAAAGAGCACAACACCAGAAAGTGATTTTTTTTCCCTATTACTTTTCTTAGTCCTATAGAATCTAATGAACAGAGAAAGAACAAGAAGAAGAAAAAGAAGAAGCACAACACCAGAAAGCAATATGATTTTGTGTGTGTGTGTTTGTCAGAAAGTGCAGGAGAAAACTTTTAATTAACACTAAAAGTAAAAAGTTTTTGAAAGGAGCACACTAGAATGTCATATTTTTCATGTTTGTGTGTGTATTATCAGAAAGTCCAGGAGACCTGGTACGAGAGGCTCCACGAGTGGGAGGCTATATTATGACCAGTTTGTGTTAGTTTTAGTTTAGTTTTAGTAGAGCGTTTACGGCGCTCGCTACTGCCTAAGTAGTTTGTGTTAGAAGTGGCGTAAAACTCTTGAATAACACTAAAACCAGGTATGATTCTGTGTGTCTGTGTGTTTATGTTGTCAGAAAGTGCTGGAGAACTGGTACGAGAAGCTGATCGAGTGGGAGAAGGCGCTGCAGGCGTACCAGTTTGTGCTAAAGTGGCGTAAAACTCTTGATTAACACTAAAACCAGATACGATTCTGTGTGTCTGTGATGTGTGTTTATGTTGTCAGAAAATGCAGGACAGCTGGTACGAGAAGCTGCATGAGTGGGAGAAGGCAATATTATGAACAGTTTGTGTTAGTAGTGGTGTAAAACTCTTGAATAACACTAAAACCAGATATGATTCTGTGTGTTTTTGTTGTCAGAAAGTCCAGGAGAGCTGGTACGAGAAGCTGCACGAGTGGGAGAAGGCGCTGCAGGCGTACCAGAGGAAGCAGGAGCAGAACAAGGAGGACAACACGCTCACCCTGGCCCGCATGAGGTGTCTCGAGGCCATGGGAGACTGGTGAGATCACGGACTGTTTGGCGAGACCCTCTTCTTCTTCCTCCTCCTCCTCTTTGATTTCTCTTTCACACTGTCTCTCTCACGGGTGATTAGAGGGCGCCACTGGTCGGTCCTACTTCTTTACTTTCCCTCTGTTGTTTCTGTCTGTCTGTCTCGCAGGTGGTTGGAGGGCGCCACTGGTCGGTCCCACTTCTTTACTTGCCCTCTCTTGTTTCTGTCTGTGTGGGTGGTTGGAGGGCGCCAAAGGTAGATCCTACTTCTTTACTTTTCCTCTGTTGTTTCTGTCTGTCTGTTTGTGCGGGTGGTTACAGAGCACCACTGGTAGGTCCTACTTCTTTACTTTCTCTCAGTTGTTTGTTGTCTTTCTTACTGTTTCCCAGCACTAAATGACCATTTTTTGTTGTTGATATGCTTCAATTTACTCAAACAAACTGACTCCCTCCCTCCCTCCCTCCTTCCACTTTCCTACCTTTGTGTCCTCGTCCTATTTTCCCAGTGAGGCCACAGGCTCTTTGTCTTCTGTTCGTCTTCATTCGATTCCTCATCCTCCTTCTTCTCCTCCTCCTTTCGCCTCTCCACCCCTTTCCTCCTCCTCTTTCTTCTCCTCCTACTTGTGCCTCTCTGCCCCTCTCATTGTTTTATTTCCATTTTCTCCTTGTCTTCCTGCTCTTCTCTTATGTTGGGACCTAAAACAGATATGATACAATTGGGTAGAGGTGAAAACATTAGCCCGATATAGAAGAAAATGGAGAGGTCTTGTTGGTGACCTTTATTTTGGCATGGGGTCAGAAAGGATGATGATGATGAGGAGGATGATGATGATGATGATGATGATGATATGATGATGGTGATATGATGATTCCTGTTCTTTTACTTCTTCTTTTATCTGATTGATCGTTCCCTCATTGTATTGTTGTTGAGCAAGTATGCTGAAACCGAATAAAAATCCTTTCTTTATGTTAGAGAAGTGGGTGGTTGGCGTGTGTGCTTGGGTGTGGTTTGCTCCCTTGTTTCTTATCAAACATCTATCGTCATAATCTCCCCACATTCTTTTCTGAGTTTGTTACTCTCTTGCAACACCTTTGATTTTTAGCACTTATACAACCTAATTGTGTTACAACTGCTGTAAAACGCTTACTAAAACAAACGTTATGCCGGAGAAATGATCTTTGTGCATCAAACTTCCAACTGACATGACAGTTGATGGATTCGTTCATCTGTTTTATTTCTGGTTATTTCCCCCCCCCCCCCCCCCCTCCCCCCACAGGAACCAGCTGCACGAGATCGCGCTGAACCGTTGGCCCAGTGTGTCTGATGACGTGCGTACCTCCATGGCACGCATGGCCTCTGTGGCTGCCTGGGGTCTGGGTAAGTCACAGGAGACTGCTGCACACATTGTGGGTGGGTGGGTGGGTTGTGGGCGGATGCTCTGATGTGGTTTGCTACTTCTGTTCTATTGGAACATCTGTCGTTTTTATCTCTTGTATGGTGCTCCTATGACCTTAATCAGTTGCAAGCGCCGTAACACTACTAAACTAAAACGGTCTCTTTTATTTCTTTTAATTGTTTTATATGTTACTTCCTTGTAACATCTCTAATCTTGAACACTAATAAGCCTCGCGCCCACTTGTTATTTTTTGCCGACTCCAGGCAAAGCACTGTATGCAAATTAGATATTTTGCTTGCTTCTCGCAAAGTTTATTGTGCAACACGATTTTCGTGCACAATCTTTTGCCTTGCGTGGAATCTGCAGCCGCTCTTCGATTCACCCAAGAAAACGGATAATTTTGAACCGTAGGCGTATTTTTGGTCCCAATTTCATTTGATATTTGCAAGAAATAATTGTTTTACATTCCATTCCATACATTTGAGCCGTTCTTAAAAGCAATTGAGGCAATAATTTCGATATGAAGGCTTCATGGCCTAGATTTGGACCTATCTAGATCTAGGTCAGCTCTGTGTAGCGTCAAACTACAGACTCGAGATTTTGCCTGTCTTCGGCAAGCGGCAAATGGGCGCGCATCATTTTTTTGTGCCTGGGCGATGACGTCACGAAAACGCATTTCCTGGAACTTGCAAAAAATTATAGTGGGCGTGCCACCATATGAACTAACGGTGTTACCAAAACTAAACTAGGACATTGTGGCCCCTTTTTCATTTGGTAAACCATGGGGGAATGGGTAAAAGTAAAGTCACACACACACGCACGCACGCACGCACGCACACACGCACGCACGCACACACACACACACACACACACACACATGCACACTCACACCACACACACACACACACACACACACACACACACACACATGCACACACACACCACACACACACACACACACACACACACACACACACACACACACACACACACACACACACAATATCTTTGCCCTTCACTTATCACAACCATCACTGCTCATTGTTTCCTATTTCTATAAGTCAAAACTTTAACCGCACTTTGACCCTCACTGTGCATGAGGTTAAATGGTTCGAAATGGGGGGTATACTTTATTTTTTATAGGAGAATGAATAATACTTTTTACTTTTCGGTTCAAGTTGTATGAAAAAGCCATACAAAAAACCTCATCCCCTTTTATTGATCCAGGAGAGGAAATTTGGTTTTGCAATGATGTAACATATAGGCCAAGTATACATACTGGAAGTGTCGTCAACTGAAGGCATAACTGACTCGGCTACAGCTTCCTATGGTTGGGCATTTCTTTTTTATAGATAGGTTTTGTTTGTGCGCATAGAGCATGCTTTGTGGAGCGGGGGAAACTTCTGTGTTTTCTTGCTGAATACACTGTCTATTGTTTGCAAATTTTACTCAGGGTTCCTGCTGCCTCCTTGAATTCATGAGTCCTTGAAAACTCCTTGAATTTGCATTCAAGGAAAAATCTCTTTGAATTTGAGGAACCTCCTTGAGTACTCCCTAAATTTCACCCGATCGGACAAACAAAATTTGTAGGAAAATCGAAAGCACGATTCCTTTTGGACAAGTGTACGCCTATTGGAAATAGGCTTTCAGCATGAATTTCTTGACCAAATCTCCTTGAATTAAAAAAAATTTCTTCTTGAAATCTTGCATTTGGTGGGTAGTTAATGGCAGGAACCCTGTTTACTGTATGGTAACTGGTATGCTCTATGGCAAATAACTATCCCCCCTCCCCATGTACAGGCCAGTGGGACAGTGTGGAGCAGTACCTGTGCTTCATCCCGCGCACCAGTCACGACGCCGCCTTCTTCCGGGCCGTGTTCGCCCTGCACTCGGAGAACTACCAGACGGCTCAGCAGGTGGGTGGGGGTGGGGGGGGGGGGGGGCTGGTGGATGGTTGGGGCGGGAACCTGTTCCAGATGGTTTGTGGGTGGTGGATGTTTGAAATTGTTTAAAGTGATGGATATAGACCGAAGGACTAGAACCCAGATGGCCGCTGGATCAGAAAAGTAAAGTAAAGTAAAGTGGCAGATGTTTGAAACAGTTTACGGAAAGTGGACGTTTGATGGGCCAACTCAAGATGTTCAGTTGCAAACTTTTCTTTTTGCATGCTATTTGAATTGATGATTTTGCGATTTTGAAAGAAATCCACGAATTCAAGTCATTCGGGAAATGTCACTTCTGTATTGGAACCCAAATAGAGAATTTCTATTGCCTATTAGTATTCATAACTTTCATGAAAATTGAGATGGAACCTGCCATGTTAACTCTTAGAGGTCGCCGTGTCTTTCTGTCTTGATGCCGTGGGTGGTTGGCGGGTGCTCTGGTGTGGTCTGCTCCTTCTTTCCTATCAAACATCTTTTTTCCTTATCTCTCCTTCTTTTTTGTGTTTGTTACTCTCTTGTAACATCTTTAATAATCTTCAGCACTTATATTGTCTTATTGTGTTGTAAGTGTGGTAAAACTCTCACTAAAACTAAAACTGACTAGATGCTGTATTATTGTTTTGTTTTTTCTCATTTGCCGTGAATGTCTCAGCTGTTTAGTGTAAGACAGTCATTTGAAGTTTTGAAAAAAGACATATGATGAGGTTTTGCACTGTGCAGGTGATCTTTTTGTTTTTACTGCACTTTCATCCTCTTATATTTAATCTTCGTTCCTGTTTGGAACGTTTTTGTGGGTTATGAGTGCTTAAATGTTGCTAGAAATCTTATCCATTTCAATGCTAAAAGTGCTAGTGTTTATTATTTCAAGCAATACTTGCTGCCACAGAATAACACTTCTTACTTATATTATAACCCATTTGTGTTGCAAGTGCTGTAAAATGTTTTCTAAAACTAAACCCGTAGGTGGTTGGCGGGTGCTCTGATGTGGTTTGCTCCTTCTTTCCTAGCAAACATCTGTCGTCCTTATCTCCCCTCCTTCTTTTTTGTGTATGTTACTCTCTTGTAACACATAATCTATTCTTGGCCCCTTATTGTGTTGCAAGTGCCGTAAAACTCTTACTAAAACTAAACTAAAACTAAACCCCTCTCTCCCTCCTCCACAGTGCATTGACAAAGCCCGAGACATTCTGGACACTGAGCTGACGGCCATGGCTGGGGAGAGCTACAACAGAGCTTACGGGGTAGGTGGTTTCTTCTTTTTCTAGTTTTTGCTCTTGTTGTTGCTGGTGTAGTTGTTGTTGTCATTGTTGCTGGTGTTGTTGTATTGTTTTTGTTATCCCTTAGGCTTGGTGGGTGGTCGGCGGGTGCTCTAGTGTGGTTTGCTCCTTCTTTCCTATAAAAAATCTATCTTCTTTATCTCCCCTCCTTCTATTTTGTGTTTGTTACTCTCTAGTAACACTTCTAACCTTCGGCACTTAAATGATCTTATTGTGTTGCAAGTGCCGTAAAACTGTTACTAAACTAACTAAAAACCTTAGGCTTGGGGTTTAACTCTACTCTTGTGACAGAGCTTTTTGGGGCGTGTTGTTTCTTTTGTAGCTGTTGTTGTTGTTGTAATTGATGTTGTTGTTGTTGTTGTTGGTGGTGTTGTAATTGTTATTGATTTGTTGTTGCAATTTGTGTTGCAATTGCCATAAATCTGAAAGGCAGGGTTGGAAGCCTGCATCCTAAATAATCTAAATTGTGTTGATGGGGGGCATAAGAACATAACATTATGAAACATTTCTATGATTCCCGATCTCTCTCCGCCAGGCGATGGTCAATGTCCAGATGCTGTCAGAGCTGGAAGAGGTGATCCAGTACAAGCTGGTGCCAGAGCGTCGGGATGCCATCAAACAGATGTGGTGGAACCGACTCAAAGTGAGGCCCCCCTCCTCCCCCCCCCCCCCCCCACACACACACACTGGGACGCTAGTTTCAGAATGTCCTATCTTTCTCATAGAAGTCTTTGTTTATCTTGTAAATACATCTCATTTTTAAATTCTTTTTTTTTTTTTTAGCCATTCTTTGATTATGTATTGCCTTAATTTGACATCTTTTAAATGTTTTTGTTGTGAATTCCTTACTGTAGAAAGTACTTTTGGTGAGTTGGTGAAAAATAATTGTATAAAAACCTTTATTTTTGGGGGGTTTTTTTTTTTGGTGTGGGTATTTTGGAAAATTGGTATGGGTGTGTGTGTGGGAGGGGGGGGGGGGGGGGGGTTTGTGCCAGAGTGATACAATTTTTAATATTTCTTTAAAAAAAAAAAAATTGAATGTCTATTTGATTCCTGCTTTTGTTGAAGCCAAATTGTGATTTTTAAAAAAAATCTTTATGGGTGGTTGGCTGCTTCTTTGCTATCAAACATCTACTGTCATCCTAGTCTCTTCTCCTTCTTTTCTTTATTTCTTACTCTCTATGAAGACCTTTCATATTCAGCACTTATACGACGTAATTGTGTGGCAAGTGCAGTAAAACCCACTTGAAAGCTAATAATTCCTTGACCTTGGTTGGCGGGTGCTCTGATGTGGTTTGCTTCTTCTTTCCTATCAAACGTGTATCGTCCTTATCGCTCCTCTTTTTTTTTGTTGTATTTATTACTCTCTTGTAACACCTCTAATCTTCGGCACTTATATGACCTTATTGTGTTGCAAGTGCCGTAAAACTCTTACTAAAACTAAAACTTTGACCTTGTACGTCACTCCCAGGGCTGTCAGAGAGTGGTGGAGGACTGGCAGAAGATCCTACAGGTCCGGTCGCTGGTCATCTCTCCGATGGAAGACATGGACGCCTGGCTCAAGTACGCCAGTTTGTGCCGCAAGAACGAACGACTGGTGGGTACACTGGTTTTGTTTTTTTGGGGCTTTTTCTTCTTCTAAATCTACTAAATCAACAACAATACTTTCTCTCTATATACATCAGCAAACAATTGTGTTGCCTTGCGGTGAAGTCCAGTACTGGTCAAAATAATGAAATTGAAGAAACTGACAAATTTTTCACCCTTCAGGCACTTTTTATCGAAATGGGCTCGGGATGGAGGGTGTCTTGGCATCTTTTATGTCCACTTAAAAACACATTTCGGTGTGATTCCGTAAAAAAATTGATTAAAGGCACAACAAAAATGTAAATTTGCATTTTCCTAGGACACTCAAGCTTTGGGAGTCACTAAATTTTGCTGGCCATTTTCTTGTCTGACACCAGGCAACCCCCATCTCCTTCAAATGAAAATATCTTGACTTCTATTCAAGAGACCAGGGTATTTTTGTCTTCAAAAACAAGATAAGGGAAAAAGCTTTAAGATTATTTATGCCAATAACTTCATATGCCCCAAAATTGATGTGCGCCTGATTCCTCGGTGTGGTGACACATTTGTGTTGCAAGTGCCGTAAAACTTGTGCTAAAACCGAATAAAAAAATCTGCCTCATTTATCAGGCCCTGTCCCACAAGACACTAGTGACCCTGCTGGGAGTGGACCCGTCGAAACAGCCGGACCACAACATCCCCACCACCCACCCCAAGGTCACTTACGCATACCTCAAGCACATGTGGAAGGACAACCATAAGGTGAGGGGTGATTCTGTGTGTGTGTGTGTTTGAGTGAGTGAGTGTATGTGTGTGTGTGTGTGTGTGTGTATGTGTGTGTGTGTGTGTGTGTGAGTGTGTGGTGTGTTTGTGTGTATGTGTGTTTGTGTGTGTGTGCGTGCGTGCGTATGTGTGACCTATTTGTATTGTAGGTGCCATGAAACTCTTAGTAAAAGTAAACGAATTTTGAAATAGCTGCATGTGTAGCATGTCATGTGCATGTTGTCGCTGTTGCAACCAATCCTCTTCAATACAAATTTTGAGAAGTTTTGATTTTTTAACACGCTCCTGAAGCTGTATCAAAGATGCATCTTTCAGCATCACTAACATACAGTTTAGTGCTATGGTCGAAGCTTAGTTTTCTTGCTTTTTATTATTCCTGATAGGTCTTCTCTTCTTCTTCTATCCCGTGGTTGGGGCAACCCTGAGGGCCACCACTGCATCTGACAACCAGCTCTCGCTGTTTCTCTCTGTCCTCTGCTTTCCTCAGATTGTCACCCATTGTCTTCCCTGTCCCCTCTGTGATGTCGTCCTCCCATCTCCTTCTCTGCCTTCCTTTCTTTCTCTTTCCTTGTACGGTTCCCTGTAGGATTGTTTTGGCAAGTCCTGTGGATCCTGTGACATGCCCATATCATTTTAATTTTCGTCTCTTCTCTGTGGTCAGTAGTCAGTAGATCTTCATGCTGCCCTTCTGTGTTTGTGATTCTGTTGCGTACCTCAGTTTTTGAAATAATACCTGATAGGTACAACACAACAAAAACTAGTTTTTTGTCTCAGGTGTAAAAAGTATCTAAATGGACCTAACTGTAACGCTTGTGACACCAACGATATTTAGAGAGTGTGTGTCAAATACTTATGTGTGGCATCATGTGTGTCTTCATGTGTGTCTGTTTGTTTGTTTGTTCCACAGAAAGAGGCGTACGTGAAGCTCCAGCATTTCGTCCGACAGTCACTGCAGACCAAGTCTCTGCAGATCATGGGCCCCGACGAGGCCGGTCAGAGGGCAAAGCTCAACCAACTGACTGCCAGGTACGTTCTCAACTCCCCCGCCCCGCAGATAGCACGGAGCACGCTCCCCACCACACCTACTGAGTTGGTGTTTGGCGGGAAGTGACCAAATTGTGGGGTTTGTTCCTTCTTTCCTATCAAGCGTCTGTCGTCGTACTCTCCTCCTCGTTTTCTTTGTATGCTACTCTCCAGTATCGTGTGTAATCTGGGTCACTTTTATGACCTATTTGTGTTGCAAGTGCCGTAAAACTCTTGTTTTACTTTTTGTTTGTTTTAGTAAGAGGTTTTTACGGCGCTCGCAACTGCATAAGGTCATATGAGCGCCAGAAGTTTAGAGGTGTTACAAGAGAGTAACAAACATAAAAAAGGAGGGGTGATAAGGACGATAGATGTTTGATAGGAAAGTAGAAGCAAACCTCACCAGAGCAACGGCCAACCACCCACCGTAAAACTCTAACTAAAAGTTTAAAAAATTGCTCCTGTTTGGTCAGATGTTGCCTGCAGCTGGGAGTAACTCGTTTTGCCGGAGCGACTCACAATTGTATTTTCTTCCCCCGCTTGGATAGATGTTATATGCTGCTCTTTTCTTCCTGTACGGTCAGATGTTACCTGGGGTCTCTCGTGGCCTAGAGGTTAAGGTGTTCGCCTCTCATCCAAAGGTCCCGGGTTCGAATCCGGGTAGCGACGGAAAAAATTTTCTTCTCTAAAATTGTCTCCTTTCACCTCCTTTCCTGCTCTCAAGCCATATTCCTTCGCCTGCTTTCATCTCCACTTCTGCCCCCACCCCCTCATCTCCTTTGCCCACTCCCGTGGGCACCTGACTCTTTCTGCAGCCTTTCTACTGCTTCTCCATGGCTCCTTCTTACTGCTGTCTTTCAGCCACACCCCTGATCTTCTGGTAGGAAAGGTCTACACCTAGCCTTCTTGGACAAAGGCAAAAAATCTCAGAGGTCCCGTATGCAAGTTGCGCACGTTAAAGATCCCTTGGGGGGTCCAAAATCGATAACAGTAGGCTTCGGCCGGCACTCAGGCAAATTTCAAAATTTCCTACCAACTGAAAATGTTTAATGTGTCCTGCGCGCTCATATGATCTTATGCATTTGCGAGCGCCATAAAACTCTTACCAAAAAAAAAAGAAAAAAAAAAGATGTTACCTTCGACTTGGAAGTAACGTATTTTGCCAGTGCGTCTCACAATTGTTATTTTTCTTCCTGTACAGTTATATGTTACCTGCTACTTGGATAACATATTTTGCCAGCGCGTCTCACAATTGTTTTTTTCTTCCCGTTTGGTCAGATGTTACCTACGGCTGGGCCAGTGGTCAGAGGATGTGCACGGCATCTCGGAGGAGTCCATCCCGCAGATCCTCGAGTACTACAACCTGGCGAAGGAACACGACGACACCTGGTACAAGGTCAGTCAGGACATGCAGGGAATGTACATGGGGGGGGGGTGCTGGGAGGATGAGGATGGCGTCAGTGACAATTTTCAATTTTTGTTTTCGTTTTGAACTTTTGTTCGGCTTGTTTTGTTTTGTTCAACAACACATTGTTTTTCATCAGTGGAGGCTGTAGTTGTTTACTAGTGATATAAATATACAACATTCAAACATGGGAAGAATAGCAGCAGTACCTATTGACTGCATCTACGTGTATATTTTAACCCTATCCATACGCCCTGGGGTCATTAATTTGTACCCCCAGGGTTGTATTCTTCACATTTTAGAATACTTCTAGTGGGAAGATCTCTTTGAAACTTTCAGTATTTCTCAAAAAATCTTTTTGACAGACTACTATGCAAAGCGTACGGATCGGATTAACGAGTAAATTTCCTCTTTGGAAAGTGGTGGCACTGAGTTCCCCTCATCATATGGATACGATAGTAAAACACTACGTACGGATAGGGTTAAAAGTGACGCATGACAGAGTCTTGCACTGAGCGGTCCATAAGAACACGCGAAGGAAAGGCTCTAGTTCTGAAGATTCCTGTGACTTGTTCTGTTTTTACCTCTGAGGTCATCACTTGCTGTTTGATGAATGTGGAGGAAAATTGTTGACCTTTATTTAAATTACTTACTGGAGCTGTTCTTAGAGGTTTTTTGTTTTTGTTTGGAGGGGGGGGGGGGGCTGAGGTGGAGGAAGGTGGTATTTTGTTCTCCACTAGACAAAAATGTAGTTTTGAAGGTTGGCAGGCGCTATGATAGCTCGGTTGGTATCCTGCTAGACCACCACCACCAACAACAACACCAACAAAAAGAAACAACAACAAAAACAAGAGCAACAACAACAACAACAGCAACTACAGTAACAACAACAACAATAACTGGCAGTGTTTCTATCACATGACAGGCGTGGCACTCCCTAGCCCTGATGAACTACGAGGCCGTGCTGTTCTACAAGCAGAGAGAGCAGGCGGCCGGCGTGGCGGCAGGCTACGCGACCCCTGAGGGCGCTCTGGACATTCCCCCGAGGCTGGACCTGAACTCTTCGCCCAGGCCCGAGTCGGTCAGTGTGTACGGCTTTGTGTGTGT